TTAACCCTAATTTATATTTTTGTGCATTTTGCTCTTATGCATTTTCCCTAATTTGGTTTTTTTGTGCATTTTGCCCTAATTATTTTCTTGATTTGTTATAGCTCGGATTAGTAATTGGGGATGCCTTGAAGACTTTGAGTTGCGGTTATTGAGTCGACAGTGAAAAGTATTTTTCGGTAACTCAACCTATTTTTAATACTTTAAATGATATTGCTTGAATTTATTAAAATTATGAATTGAATACTTTTATGCATTTGTACTTATATTTGCTTCCTAATACAATATCTTCTTTAGAATGTTAGCGATAAAATTGACAAAATAGTTTGTTTAATTAATTACAAAAGTGGATGTATTAACCTATTTTCTTGAATAATTTTTTGAAACAGTAATGGAGAAGTACTTCAAGAGAAAGTCTGAGTCAGAGTTATCACCTCCTCCAAACAGAGGTGGTGATTCTTCAAAGAAAAATCATGTAGATATTAATTTGACTGATCTTCCATCGATCCCAAACTACGACTTCGGATTATGCGAATTTTTCACAAAAAAAGATTTGGTGTTAAACTATGATGGTTTAACAAAGCTTGGTTTTCTCAGTTTGGTAACTGACTTGAGTATATTATGTTATTATCTTTTTTGTTAGCTCATTTTTAAATTGGAAGAGAATAGAGAAGTTCCAAATGCATGTTAGAGGCATTAATAGTTCTCATAACCAAGCTTGGAGAAAATGTCAAGATTTATTAAATCCAAAGCAAAGTATTGAAGTTATTTTCTTCAAATAATCAGACCAAGCTCGAAGTGAGTACAGAACCCAGTTGAATGCATCCATTGATTGTATTTGATATCTTCTAAGGCAAGGGTTTGCATTTCGTTGTCACAATGAATCTAAGAATTCAAGTAATCAAGGAAACTTCCGTGAGCTTCTTAGATTTCTTACTGATCACAATGAGTATATTAAAGTTGTTGTGTTGAAAAATGCTCCTGAGAAGTTCAAGTTTGACTTTGCCTAAAATTTAAAAAGACATTGTAAATGCAGTTTTCTGTTGACACGTGTAATGCTATTGTGAGCCGTCTTGGTGGTGCACTTTTTTCTGTTCTTATTGATGAATCATATGACATATCAACAAATGAGCAAATGGCTATTGTGTTGCGATTTGTGGACAAGAAGGTACATGTAGTTGAACACGTTTTAGGTTTTGAACATGTTACTAATACTAGTGCTCTCTTACTTAAGGTAGCTGTAGAAGATTTATTTGCTAGACATGGGTTGAGCTTGTCGAGATTACGTGGCAAGGTTACGATGAAGCTAGTAATATACGAGGTGAATTCAATGGTCTCAAGACACCTATAATGAAGGAGAATGCATATGCATATTATGTCCATTGTTTTTCGCATCAATTGTAATTAGCTCTTGTGGCCGTTGCAAAGAATTATATTCAAATGACGATTCTTTTCAACTTGGTTGCTAATATTGTGAACGTTGTTGGAGCCGCATGTAAAAGACGAGATATTCTTAGGGAGAAACAAACGACTAGAGTTATTAAATTACTCGATAATGATGAACTTTCAAGTGGGCGAGACTTGAATTAGGAAACTAATCTTACATGTGGTTGTGATACATGTTAGGGTTAACATTATTATTCTTTGATCAGATTGATTGATATGTTCTCATCAGTGATTGATGCACTTGATATGGTTTCAGAAGATGGTATAAATGCAAAACAAAGAGGGGAGATAAATGTTCTTTTGGACTTGCTACAATCTTTTGAGTTTTTATTCAATCTTCATTTGATGAGAAGCATATTGAGAATCACAAATGAGTTGTCGCAGACATTACAAAAGAAATATCAAGATATCGTGAATGCCATGACATTAATTCAAGTATCCAAGCAACGACTTCAAATGATGAGAAAAATTGGTTGGAATTGTTTTCTTAATGATGTCACATCTTTTTTGTGAAAAACATGAGATAGTTATTCCAGAGATAGACGATATCTTTAAAGCTTGAGAGAGATCAAGACGTACTCAAGAAAAGACAAATTTGCATCACTATCAAGTTGAGTTATTTTATATCGTCATAGATATACAACTTCAAGAGCTAAATAGTCATTTTACCGAGTCAAACACTGATTTACTTCTTTGTGTAGCATGCTTTGAGTTCTTTTGATTCCTTCTCAGCTTTTGACAAGGAGAAATTTGTTTGTCTTGCCCAATTTTACCTGAAATAATTTTCTTCACTAGAGCTCATGATACTTTTTGATCAGTTGGATAGTTATATTATTGATATGCGCTCTAGTATTGAGTTTTCAAATTTGTTAGGGATTAGAGATTTTGCTCAGAAAATGGCTGAGACAAAAAAACACGTGGTATATTCATTGGTTTACTTACTCGTGACATTGATATTGATCTTGTCAGTTGCAATTGTCACAGTAGAGATAGAATTTTTGGCTATGAAAATTGTAAAGAATCGATTGCGTAATCGAATAGACGATCATTGGATGACAAATAACTTGATTGAATACATAGAGAATGACATTTTTGATTGCATTGATAATGATGTTATCATGCAACGCTTTTCAGAATATGAAATCATGTCGTGATCAATTGTAAAAATTTATAGTTAGTCTCATTTTTTGTAAAAGGATCCAATTAGAACCTTATTTTGCAATTTTTTTTTGTACCCTATGTATATCAATTTTTAGCTCTTTTGTCAATGAAATTTTAGGTATTATATATGATTTAAAAAATTTATTTGTCTTTAACTTTAATCCTTAAGAAGACAAATTTTTAAACTTATAGTTAGTGCTCCCCACATATAAATTCCTGACTTCGCCCCTGCACATCAATTTCAATGTATTGTATTGCACGAAAATCCTAATATAGCCCTGATAAGCCTGTCATCCGAATTTGCTATCCACGTATCCAAATAAACTGCACAATAAATAGCCACCACACATCCCTACAACTGCCAAAACCCAGCTCCAAACCATCACACTAGTCATTGTTGCTGCCATCATCATTGTCACTGCCATCACCATTGTCGCCTAAATATACCGTCACATAAGCAAACCATGGCTAGCCACCACCACCATGATTGCCACCCTAATCTGCCACCACATCTGAGTACCCACCAAGCCACCATTATCACTGAACCACCACAAACACTACCGAGAGATGTTGAGGCACACTAATTCTACAAACAACCAAGCATCACCTGAAACTCAACCCCCTAAAGTCAATTCTAACTCTGAAAATCCCAAATCAAAATAAAGGCAACCACCAGACTTTTAGATTTTTTGCCAACGTCCTCTGTCATAACAGCGTCATCTACTACCAACACTCTTACTCAAATACTCTTACATGGGCCAAACCCTTCGATGTCGTTGATCATCAATACATGCTCTATAGCTTTAAAAATCAAGATGTTGGTGTTCATCATCAAACTCTATTCGCAACTCATTTAGCTTCTTCTTGATTATTATTGAAGAATTCATTGCGGCTTAGAGCTAACAGAGGCTGAAAATCAATGGCAATTAATATGTCACATGATACACCAAAGGGTGTCAATTGATGGGGTGGTGAAGGGTGAGTGAGATGAAAGCGTTAATATTATGAAAGATATGGGACTATGATGAACTGCAGGAACCCTTATTTTGTTGATGCATGAAGAGAAAGAGAGAGAGAGAAGGAGATGGTGGGGGCCAGACAAATGGCGATGGTGGGTGAGGTGTTCAGTGCTTGCAGCGAGAGAGAGAGAGAGAGAGAGAGAGTATAGTGAATCAATCAACTGGGTGGAATTAATTGTTAATTAATTAATCCCTTAGTTTTTGATTAAATATATATCCCTACGACGTTAGGGGTAAATTAGTATTTTCACTTTTACCATGACATCCATCCACAAAATGCTACTGACAAGGATGTCAGTGTTATTTCTCATACATGAAGGATTTGTCTGATTAAGTGACAAACTTCAAAGAGTTTAAATGTAATTTATCCATTTATTTATGTTCATTGTTTTGAATTCACAGTTTAAATTCATTGTCTTTGAATTCGCTGTTTTAGATCACAATCTTGAGTTCACTAATTTTTTAGTGTGTATATGGTGGAACGAAAGATAGGGGAGAGAAAAATGAATTTAAGCAATTGCATTAATTAAAAGTATTTTTGTTTGTTTTAATTTTATGTACTTTTGACCTAAAAAGTGTTTAGGTAGACCTAAAGCTTAAAAAGTTTCCAAATGTGAACTTTTGGCCCGTTTGTCCAATTTAATATATATCCAAAACATATATTAAAAATTGAGTTGCGATGATGGACGATGGTGGTGGTGACGACGACAATTGCGGGTGGTGGTGGTGGGGGGGGGGGGACGACGACGATCGTAGAGATGGTGGTGGGCGACCGTTACGACGGTGGCAGTGCGTGGTGGTTGGCTGTGGCGCGCGATAATGATAATGATAATAAATATAAAAATAATAAAATTTTTGTAGAAAAATAATTTCAAAGAAGTTGAATTTTTTTTCGAAGTTTTATCTACTGCCTTATCTAACATCCATAATTAAGGATATTTTTATCCCTTAATATGAGAAAAAATATTAGGTATAACGATGATATCACGTCATCATTGTAATGCGGTGTCACTATTTAATAAATGTATAACAAATAAGTAGGTGAATTTTATACATTCTAGTAATCACTATGCCATTTTATTTAATAATTATTCAAGTAACTTTTATCTTACTCATTTATAAGTTTATTATTAGACGATGACGCCACCGCACATTAATAATGATATGGAGTTGCTTTTACGTCCGATACCTGACCTGTATTTTTATACAAATTTTGGGAGGACAAGTATCGTTCGCCCTTCAACCCAAGCCGAAATTGACAAATTGAAATCGAGAAGATCCAGATTCCAAATCGGATGCACGTACTCCCTCTATCGATCATCTTCGTAAGTCTCTGTTTCTGCTGAAAACTCCATTTCTGCAGTATTATGTTCCACCATGAATCCACCTCCTCCACCTCCAGCTCCGTTCCCCAATCCATCTTCTTACACCTTCCTTCCACCAAACCCTAACCCTAATTTCTTTCCCTCTCACCTTCACCACCCCCCCTCTCCTTCCAGCACCAGCACCAGCACCAGCACCACTAACCTTCCGACCCTTAATGACCTCCACACCACCTTGTCAACTCTCAAACAGCTCATAAACCTATCACAAGCTGCCATAATCTGCATCTCCACTCTACTTCCTCCCACCGCTTCCACCTCCACCTCCTCCGCTACCTGCCCCTGCCCTTTCAATCCCCATCACCAACTTCTCCCAAAGTCCCTCTTCCGCCACTTCTTCCAATGCTCATCTTCTACCACTCCTCTCGACCCTTCCCTCCTCCAGTCCCTCCACTACCCCAAAACTCTCCAATCTTCAGCCGAACTAATCAACCAAAACCGTTTCGTACAAACCCTCCACGACCCCAGCACAGACCTCTGTTTTTCTCTCGACGATTACTTCAATTTTCGTCCCAATTTCTTTTATAAAGATTGCCCCGGCGTTGTTACTTCATCCAATCAAAATAATACAAACCCAATGCTCACATTACCGGGGGTTCTATGCATAGAATGTGCAAATTTTATCGGCAGTGGTGATAAAGAGACAAAGGGTTTTGATAGAAATAGTGTTAGACTCCTTCCTTCGGAGATTTGGATTGTTAGGAGTGAAATTGAGGCATGGAATGAGTATCCTAGTTCCTATTCCTATGCTGTTCTTCGAGCAATTTTGTGCTTGAAACTGAGTGAATTCCATGATTTGATGAGATGGATCATTGTGAATTCGCCTCGTTATGGGGCTGTGATTGATGTGCCGATGAGGGATCATATAGTTTTGCTTTTTAGGCTATGTTTGAAGGCGATTATTGGGGAAGCCATTGGATTAGCAGATCCAGTTTTTAACAGAGAGGTGGAGTTGAGTCCGAAAAGTATGAGTTTTCCGGTGTCCCATTTTGGTTCAAGTGTTGATTTGGTTGGCATCTCAGCTTTCTGTTCTGTATGGTCAAGTGAATGGAAAGTTGTTTGCCGTGAACATGCTAAAGCAATGCCTATTTTATTCTTTATTGAATTCTTCATTGCACCCCTTGGAGCGAAACACCACGGAGTCACCTCCTTTGAAAAGATTGGATGATATGCCACTTGGAAAAAGTACCGAGAATGAAGGTAACAATATAGCTGTTGGCACCGTTAGTGACAGTGTAGTTTTTGTTTCTCAAGTAGCTGCGGCAGTTGCTGCATTGCACGAACGGTCTTTTCTTGAAGAAAAAATAAAAGGGTTACGGAATCCACAAGCACTGAGTGATTACCAGAGGTATGTTTCCGTTCTTGTGTTTTTACACCCTCTGTTTGGAATTTCTGGCCTTTTGATGTCCTGCTTCCCTTAAAATTTGAAATGATCTCCAGTGTCTTCAATAATCTATAGTGCTACATTTTCTTGCACCCTCTGTTCTGTCTTACCACTAATGGGAGTTTGTAAAAAATTTTGTAATCACTTTGAATGAATGCTGGTTTTGTACTGTCGGACAACAAATATATTAACAAAAAGACACAGGTTCATTTTTTCTTCCTTTAGTTGTGACATAATGGAAGATAAATGTAACCATAGTTATTTGAGACAAAAAGTGTGCCAAGGTGCCAAGGTCTCTTAGGGTGTAGGTGCGAGGCGCGAGATGAAGCACAGGTTTAATCGAACCGAGTTGCATGCTGTAGATGATTGGTGGAGCTAATAAATTATGCTTCAAATATGCATAAACTCAACCAATTTTAAATTCGTTTAGGCAAATTCAAAACATATAGCTCATCTTGGCAGAAGATAAAAAAGAATCAAATTGCCGACGAATGCAGTGACACAACTCAGTTTAGCTAATTTCAATAACATAGTACAAATTACAACGAGACTTCTAGACGATTAATCAATTATTAGCATCAAATTTCAGTAGTTTACGATAAATATCAATATTCTGTTGCAAAATACAGCTCATATATTTGGAGTTAACATCCTTAGCCAATTTCAACATAGATATATAGTTGGAGTTGGACTAGCTTGGCTTTGTGAAGTTTAGTAGAGTTTGGATTAGAATTCGATATTTCTACTAGGAGTTTTATTCTAGAGTTTATTTCAAATATTCCACCAATGGCTTAATATATATAACATAAGAAAAAAAAGCTCATGCCTTGTGCACCTTGACTGCACTTGAGTGAAGTAACCTTGATGAAATTGTTGTTACACCACTTAGATAAACATTTATTGAAGGAATCCTTTATGGGTGACATCAATTCGCCACTCTACGTGCTTTTGTTTCACAATGGTTTCTGGTATTAAATGCTGTATCATACACTGAAATGCTAATTTTGCATCTTTCTTCGATTCTGTCTTTTCTTATTAATTATTATGTTTGGTGCTTTGATCTTTGTTAACAAAGTCATCTTCTTGAATTCCTCATCGGAGCATCTTATGAAACTAATTCCCTTGTAGAATGGCTGAGCATGCATATATATCAAAGAGAGCTGATGAGGAGCGGCGGAAACGCACTAACTTTAGACCCATACTTGAACATGATGGGCTTCTGTGGCAGCATTCACGTAATCACGTAAGTTGGCATGACCACCTTATGTATTCGGGATAAGATACTAATATTTGAGTGATTTTTCTTTTTTGATGTTGTGGTTATTGATTTGGTTGATAAGTAGATTCTCATTCCTTAAGAACTTGGATGCCTAATAGGACATTGGGATAATGTAAAATAACAGGCATCTCTTAGCATTGGGATTAATTAAAAATTTTTGACTTTGAGGAAGTGTGATTATACATTTATTCAAAGTAAAAACAACAAAATTTTCTCACATCAATTTATGTTTGTGTTCTTTATTTTAACATTATTTTGAAATTTAAACGTTAAATTATTTCTTTAGAGGTTTTTTTTTTTTTGAGAGAAATGGTTCCAAAGCTGCCCAAGGTTCAAAGTATCAGCTGAGTCTTGCACCTCTAATCCGATTAGGATACACAATACAAGAATATCACGATACTCGGTTAGGACTCGACCAACTTGAATTGACTCGGATCAACTCGAACCAAGCAAGTTGATTCACAGAATCGTCTAGGCAAGATCTCAAACACCACCTCCAAGCTCCAGCTAGATATAGAAGAAAAGAAGAGACCCAAGGGAAGAAATTTGGGACCCTAAATGAATTACACTCTTTTTTGCAATTACACACAAGAAAGAAGAAAATGAAAAATTTTCAAGACAAATGTGAATCAATTGTGAAGCAAAGAAACCCCTTTTCTTCTTCTTGGCGAAATAGTTTCGCAGAACCCACAAGTAGTGGACCTTCTCTTCGATTGCGTCTCTTAGGTTACTTCTCATCTCCCAGTTTCTCTCTTGAAATCTCTCATCTCGTCTCTCATTTGTCGCTTCTTGTCTCCCGGGTGCTCTCTCTCTCTCTCTTTGCTATCTAGGAGTCCTACTCTAAAAGGAGTATTCTAGAATACTAGGCTAAAAAGAACACTATTATTATTCTTTTATTCTAATATTATTTCTGTTTCAAACAATTATATTTTAAATTTTGTGAACCTTTAAAAGTATATGTTAAAACTTCACTTAGATTTATAGTTCATAGTTAAAGTATTTATTTTTGTTGTTTTAATTTAATTTGTTTTTAGAATTGAATACTAATAGGTTCAAAATAATAATAGTATCACATATTTAATGCTTGATGATTATTATCGTTAGTAGGGATGGCAGTAGACCGGATAAAAATGGGTATTCTTCTAAACACGCTCCGTTTGGACTGGGGATAGATCATACGTATTGGACGGTAGACGTATGCGGGGATACCCGTATAAACCTGTGCGGGGATGGACTGACACTTACGCCTCGCCCCGCTTTACCCATTATTATTATTATTATTTTATATATCTATATACATGTTGCTGTGAATACAAATATACATATTATTGAATGATTTTTTTTTTGAAAATTATTATTTTTTTTTAATTTTTTTTTTATGGTTTTGACTTGTAAAAGTGTAGATCTTTGTATTTTTATATTTTTTTTATGTTGGATTATATTATATTATGTTATGTTGTGTTATATGATATTGTGTTGGATTTACAAGGGAGACAAACTTTTAATTATATGATGTTGGATTATGTTGTAGTTAAGGTTTTAATTATATTATGTTGTAAATGACAAACTTTTAATTATGTTATGATATTTTATAAATATGTTGCATTATTCAGAATGTTAGATTTATTTAAAATTTTGAATTATGTTGACTTGGGTTTGGGCTTGGACTTGGGCCGGTAAAGTGGGACGGGGGTGGGGGCGGAGGTGAAGACGGGGGTAGGGATTACAGGATTACAAATTTACCTGCGGACGGAGATGAGGATGAAAATTATACCCGTTAACGGGGGTGGAGTGGGGATGGACGAAATTTTTTTAAGCGGGTATGGGGATGGAGATTACACCCCCGGCCCCCGCTTCGGTCCGCTGCCATCCCTAATCGGTAGTGCCCTTACCCTTCATTTTCACTCCGTTTAATGTGTTAAATGATATAATTTCAATATATGATGCATGTATGTTGTTTATATTTTTTAGATTTTTTTATAATTTTTTTAGAATTTTTTGAGCCTTTTATCTAGCATTTTGTGCATATCAATACCTCTGAGTCGACAACCGATACCGCGACCTTGAACCATTAAGCCACCTGTGGTATTTTATTCACCATTTTCTTTATCTGGTTTTGAACGGATGACTGAAATACAGGGAAGCTTACTGTTTGTAGTTTTTAAAAAGATAGGATATGGTTCGCTGCAGGAGGGCTTATTGAGAAACCAGTTTTGTGAGTGGCTTGTATCTTCTTTGGATCCAGGTTTGTTTTATTGAGGATTAGATTTGGTTCTTGAGAAAAGACTCATCTAAACAGTAGTCTTAGGTATGCCAGTTGTGTTGCTGCCTTGTTGGTAAAGTAAAGTTGATTCTTGGTGACGAATGTGAACTCTCATAATGTAATGTGGGTATTGCTTTTCTGGAAGCTTAGGAAGCAGGAAATTGCTGGTGTTAATATGTAGATCTTTAAGCATCTAAACTGTATAGTTTAGTTACATGTGACGTAGATTTGGAGGCAGTGGAATGATATCGATGTTGGAGTTTACAGACAGATTTTAGTCATTTGAGGTAAGATTGTTGAAATAATGGACAGTGTAATAGGTGCGGGGACTTAAAATTCAAGATGATGAAACATAGTAGAAGAATTAGGAGGAAAAACTAAAGTGATCGCACCTATGTATTTAGTTACTCGCACCTAAGAGGAGATGCCTCATACATTTCTAATAGACATCCAACATAAGTGGAGGAATCTAGCTTAGCCAAATGAAATTGGAGTCATGTCAAGGATTGCACTTGTTATATATCTTATTGAACCCTTCCAATTGAATCCAAACTACAATGGCCTTCAAGTCCTACGATACACCCCACTGGCATTCATTTTTATATTTTACTCAGCAAAAAACTGAGGTCTATGGGCATATCATTTGCTAGACTTACAGAATTAGGGTTCATAAAGTTTGTTTGTCCAAATCAAGGGTAGGTTGTTTCCAACTTTTGTCAAATTGAACTGAAGAAGTGTCACTGTTGTGATCAGAATTTATTTTTAGACCTGCTATAATGAACTTAGTGGGGAAGGTGGGATGGAATCCATAGGAGTGACCTTGTTAGACTTGTGAGTACTAAGAGCAGAAAAGCTAAGAGAATATTGGTTTGTCTCTTAGCCTTGCCCGAGGAGCAGACAAGATATTGTGTTACAGAAATGGGGACTTCAATATGTAAAGGAAGATGCAATGACCACCCAACATCCGGAGGAGTCGGGCTTTTATTCATCATATCTTCCTGGAACAGGTCCATGCTAATAATCTCCGGTTGGAAATACTTATTAGGCCTAGAGGCATAAACACCAAATGTAGGCTTACTCTGAAACTATTTTTAGTTACTTGTATATTTCCCACTTCAAAGTTGTGCAATAGCCAATTAAAAGTAGAGTTGTTGTAAAAGACTATGTTATGTATTGTTTCAAGAAAAAATTGGTTGCTTTCTCTTTGGGTAAGAATAATGTTATCACAGAAAAAATGCACGATAAGGAACCATATACCAGTGCCTTAGATCAGGAAGACACAACATGATTGTGACCAAGGATCAAAATTTTGTTTCAAAACGATCGAAACGTCTGAAATGTTTTCGTTTCTAAAGAGACTGAAACGAATCAATAATGGAATCGAAGTTCTAATACTTCGAGGTGTTTCATAATATTTTGAGGTATTTTGTAATGCTTCAATACATTTGCACAATTATTTTGGAATGTTTTAAGATAGTTTGATATATTTCGACCAGTGTTTTGAAAAACTAATTCTTAGAATTATTTATTTATTTTTTGTGTTTTCGAGCACGTTGAAACGATTCCGTTTCCTAAGTGACCAAAACAATGCACCAAAATAAAATTTTGGTCCTTGATTTTGATAAGGCAAAAAAAAAAAAATTTGAAAATTTCAATACAAGTTCACTCTATAGAAAAGAATAGATATTGCAAATCTTGGTTCGCTAAGAAGGAAAATAAGTACAGCTATTGTAACTAAAAGAAAAACTGAGCAGCCACAAATTACACCTTGCACTGCAGCAAGCAGCACATTCCGTGGTCCCAAATCACTGTGCACATTCAATGTACGGTTGGGTCAGTCCTCATCTAGCCACATCTAATATTCTTTGCCAATTGTTCTCGCATTCAAGAGACAGAAATTTTCATCTTACTGTGGCAACAAGCTATGTTGTATGGGAATTACTTCTTGTTTCCTGTGATTGTTGCGATATCTGAGTCTAAGTTCCCTTTTTTCTTTATGATATTTTCTTATTTTGCATCTATCATAATTCTACTTTCGTATCCAGGCAGGTAATAAACTAATTTTGACTTCCATATCTTGGTTGACCTTTCCATCATAAGAAACCTAAAAAAGAAAATGGACATGTGAAACTGTTTCAAATTCCTAGTTTCAAATTAAAAATAAATAAAGCCATTATTATCTAACCCTCGTCACATTTGTGCATCTGTATGTATATGTTCGTGTACTCAAATGTTCCTCTCAGGAATTATGCTGAAACTGGTTGGTGAAATCTATTCATTTTTTGCGGGATTTGTGCAATTTTTCTTTTCTAGTCGATGACTTTGTATTGTTTCTTTCGCTTCTTCATGTGGCTGCCTGTCTCTGTTAGACTTTCTAAAGAGTAATGCATTTCCCTCTTAGACAAGTAAGTCTGCTGATAACAATATTAAATGCTTTCCTGACTTAGTTTACTCAATTTATTTGTCAGTCCAACAATCAAATTTCATGCTGTACTTCCTCAGACAGTTTGTCATTAGTTCAAGAAGCAGTGACCTCACCTTAGTTCCTCAAAAGGTTTAGGGCTAGAAAAACTAAACATGTGACATCCTGACTGCAGTCTTGGGCAAATGCCTGATGTCCTACCAGTAAAGGCCCCAGGAATTTTTTCAAGCTTTTACTCAGGGTTTCACATTGAGGCATTTTATTTTTTCTTGTTTATGGGTGACTGTTGAAACTATGATTCTAAATACTTGCCGAGGAAGGTTGTTAACAAACTAAATAGTGGCTCAGTCTACCAAGAAAGAAAATCTGAATACTTGCTCATTGGAAAGTAGCAGCATCATGGTGTCACTATCGTGTCATTTTGAATATTCACTCTTGACAGCAATTTGGGGATGTAAAACTGCTCATTTAAGCTTTAAATCTCACTGTTCAAAAAATTTTAAATCTCATTCTAAGAATAGTTGTTCTTATTCTAGCATACAAATCAAATGAAGACAAGAGAGCAGTTATTAGCAGAAGAAAGAGATTACAAGCGAAGAAGAATGTCATATCGTGGCAAGAAGATGAAGCGAACGACGACACAGGTAGGAAGCAACTTCAGTTTTGATGTTTCATGTAGTTTCTATGTCAATATTGTCTCATTATTATGTCCGAATCATTCATTTTGTAGACATTTATAATGTGGTCAATAATTTTCTTGTAAAGAAAACTGTTCATTGGTCAATATATATTTACGAGAAGTGTGTAGATATAATCTCGTGTGTGCAGTTCCAATATATTCTTGTGAGAGCTGTTTTTTTTCAAAATAGAAGTTTTAGGAAGATGCCAATTGAGATAAATTGTCAAATTAAAAAATAAACTGGATGTAAGATTTTCACTTTTTAGTTTCACTATAATCATTTGTGAGGGCATTTACTGCTTCTCTTTTTTTCTTTTTTTGGTTTTGCTGTATTTTTCTGTTGTATATTTCTTTCAATAACTTGCCTTCTGCAATCTTTCTTCTGTAACTTTTTACAATGTCTCTGATTTCATTTTTTTGATTCTTCGATTTTGACCTGTTGCCAATTTTCTTATATGCATGCACCTTTTGTTTTCATTTTTTTCGCCTAAAGGTGCTTAGGGATATAATAGCGGAATACATGGAGGAAATCAAGCAGGCAGGTGGGATTGGTTGCTTAGTCAAAGGAGCTGAAGAGGCAGAAATGCTTGCATCTAAGCCTTCTTCTGTGCGTTACAGTTCTAGGGATTTCAGCGAGCTGAAGGAAAGTCTACCTGATTCATCTGAAGTAAGCAGAGAACCGGCACATGGTTACAGAAAACAGTTGCATTCTGAAAACAATATCCAATCAACAACATTCCAGGATGCGTATCCTGAAGATAAGAAGCAACAGGGAAGAGACTCCAATATGCACCACAGAAATCTAGAAGCTCGTAGAAATATTGACACGGACAGACATGATAGGGAGTACAACTCCAGAAGTCCAGATGGACGACGAAGTAGTGGCTTCTTGCATGAGCAAACTAGCAGCCGAGGGCTGCCAGATAAGGTGGAAGTGTCCAGAAAGTACTTCCCCCGAAGTCCAGTTAGAAATCATAGCCGGTCTGTGTCATATGAGCGGGATAGTCATCGGAGGGAGGGGGTTGATCATAATACAGAGTCTAAAGATAGAAAACAAAAAAACACAAAGAGGAGTTATAGATCAGACTCTGCTAGATTTCATGACTTCGATGACAGATATGATCCTTCTAAATCTTGTGATGTGTATGAGGATGATGTCTACTCTTGAAGCAAGTATTTGTGACAAGATTGACTGCAGTCAAATAGGTGTTGAGCATTCAATTAATGGCGTGGTGATCACTCTATAAAACTTCGATTGGTTCTTTCACCACTGGGGTAAGTTATCTTGGTCATAAGTCAAGTCAATTCAATTCTATTATATATATGCTCTCTGTTTTAGGAAGGATAGATTTTGACATAGGCTTTATTCTTGACTTTTGTTTTTTCACCCAAACTTTGCAGTAAGAAGTCATTCAGGCTTCCGCAGTTTATCCACACCTGTATCCTTCTTTGTATCCTAATATCGTTAATTTTATAATTCTTCTTTATATAGATCACACCATGAGCTTGATTGTTGTCTATTGCTTTTCCCGACCACCTCTTTGTTTGTTGAATTAGCAACATAGTAACATAAGCTATTCATTTCTTTTAGTATGCTTTTTTCTTCACTTAACTTATAATTCCATTACTTCAAACTTGTCTCAAAGTTAAGTTGAATATGGTTTTCTTTACTCCTGATTTAGTATGGTTTATTCTAATATTGGAAGCATGGATACAAATATGAGATACTGATACGATATGATACTAATGTAACAATGCGACTAAACTAAAAAATAGGATACAGTTATGACTAAAATACGTTTGTAAAGAGGCATAGTTTATAGTTTATTATTATCTGATAATTTGATAATTATAATGCTCCGTAAATTATTTGATATCGAAAAATATGCTGCATAAATAATTTCATCATGGTATACCCACAAAGTGATATGGCAAAACCTAAAAAAATATGATACAGTTATGAGCAGGATATGTCTACACTAAGGTAATTTTATGTTCAATTGTTATATCACAATTTGATAATTATAATGTTCAATAAATTTTTTTAATAACCAAGTGGAAAATAAGCAGTTTTTCACTTTCAAAGAAGCTTAGATTGTCTCATAATAGTACACTGACAAAGTGAACAACGTTAATTAAAGAGACAAAAAAATAATATTTGACTAGTTGGTTTATTTAAAAGAATTTGTTGTCGACAGATAGGGTGTGATTAACATATTTTATATTCTTTTAACATGTGGCATTAGATAATACTTAAGAAATACACACTTATTGGCAATTTTATATAGATATTTTTCGTCTGGAACTCTGGATCATTGTATGAGAATGCAGGTAGAGAATGGTAAAGATTAAAACTAAAAATCGTGCACATTTTTGTGTATCTACTCCCATAGCTGTAGCATATTTGTCTCGAATATCCATATGTGAGACGTAACCAAAAATAATTTTTTTATTAATTGTTGAATATGTATTGTTCATATCTAATATGTATTCTCAAGTATCTGATGAATATCTTATATGATATGATATCCGATGCATGTTTTGACTACAACGGAGTGTCCTTGCTTCATAGATTCTAGTAATATTGTTGGCTACAATATGTTGATTGCATATTTTGCTTGTTTTAAGCAAATTTTTTCTCTCTAATTTTCTTAATTATTCTTGTGGAATTTTTATCGTGTTACGTGGACATGTCAAAACACGAGATAGCAATGTGTGACACAGTGTGACATATGGTCGTGAGATATAGATCTAAGGTCACATTCCTAATAGCACTGGTGAAATTTGAGTAGAGAATTTTGTCTTAGTTATGCATGGATGTGTTGTATTACATAGGAAAGGAAAAAGTAACTGCCCAGATTGGATATCTCATGGGTGTAAGATGAGTCCAAGCTGGCCCGCTGTCTAACATTCTGATGTGGAGCATGCAAACTAGAGAAGTGGCGCAGTAAGCTATTTTGCATGAAAATTGCTTGATACCACATGTAAGCAAGATTGCAATAAGATTGTGTCTTATTATATGAAAGTTTAGGGTTGTGCTCGTATTGTTTCACTTACAGTTTAGCAAGTTTTTGGAGTTGAATTGCTGGTGGATGTGGGTTAGTAGTTTCGGTCCATGGCTCTTGACTCTTGATTTGGGACAAATTATGTTGGATCTTATATAGCGTTTTTAGTAGCCTAGTATGTTCTCACGTAGTTTAAGTGTCCAAGTTTTCTATGGTTAGTCCAAGTGAAATTGGAAGCTTTTGAATACCAAGTCAGTCCAAGTTTGCTATGGTTAGTCCAAGTTTTTGAATACAAATATCAACATGACATAGACGGTATTAGTTGTGTCAACAAACGATACAGAGTACTTGGTTTACTCTCACATCATGAAATTTACCATGTTTATGTTCCAAGATGTGTTTGAAATTGGTGACCTGCAAACCCCCCCCCCCCCCCCCCCCCCCGGACTTTTGTCGTTAAATAGAAGATATTTCAGATGATTGAAGTCCCAACAACTACTGATATGCTTAGATTTCATCAGTTTGATTGTCAATTCTAATGCATGGTAGAGATAAAAGATGCTTTGGAACTCTTGTAATTCAGCCATTTTGCGGTACTGGGAATTGGTTGTGTAGATGCCAGAGACGGGCATCTGTGGATCTGCATCTGGCACATTTCAGAGAGTCCACATACATTTAGTTAAACAAACTGAACAAGACAGTTGTTGATTTCAAGACACTCACCAAACCTTAGAATAATGGTTTCAATATGAGGGATACGTCTTTGGAACTTGGAAGAGATAGTTTATTATTTTTTTGTTGCTTCTCTATGCTTAAACTTGTAGGTCTGGACATGCTGTACATGTAACGTGTGTAGTTGGACCACTCAGTGTGCATTTGAATGACCATTATTATTTTCTGCTTTTTATTGTGCTTACATTATTTTTAGCCCAAACATGCTTTGTGATAACTGCTAGATTACACGTGTACTTCAGCAATTTATACACCATGGTGACCTCTTGCGAAGCTGTTTTCTTCACAGTATCAATTTTTTCATTATCATGACGGCTGATGATTTCCTGAAGTCTTTGTGATCGGTTACAATTACAACTAAGTCCAGAACTGAATGCTCTGCTAGAATGGCGGTAGTCATTTGAAGCAATAACTATCAATAAAAGATTAACTTTGAAAATGGATATGAATTGCTGGAAGAAGAAAGAACAAAATCCCCATCCCGTGGACATTTCTGCTTTGTTTCCTGCCTTTTTGTTTAAAAGATAGTCCTAAGCCTGTTCATTGGGATTTGATGAGTGGTAAGAGAGTAGAAAAGTGGGAATATATGTAAGTTATTTTTACCTAATTAGAGGTAGTCACCCTTACAACCTCGAATAGTTGATTTGTGCATTTGCAATAACAAGGGAGAATGATCAATAGTTGCAAATAATGCAGATGTCCGGTCTTAGGCATGGTAGCAGAGCAGAGTGATAGTTTTGAGTTTAGGCTGGATTGCTTCATAATTAACTTTCATGTAGTTTCCAGTGATGTATATTCTAATTTAGATATAAGTCAGTTTCATCCTCTATTATTATTGATAATGTGGCAAGTAGTATTTATTTAAATTTCTTGCAGCACTCCTTTGTTCTTATGGATTGCATGAAGAATTTCAGTGCAGAAGATACGAAGCATACTATGTCTGCTCATATGGAAGTATTGCCGTATACGGGAGTGAACTTCTAAATTGTAAACTTGTAGTGTCTGGATATTTTTCCTTCTGTGTACTCCTGGAATTGATTTGCTTTCACCATCTTCATATATTTAAGCAGAGCTTAAATGTGCCAGATTAGCTTTTCCATTTGATCTTAAATATATATTTACATGATGACTCTCTCTTCTTTATGGATTGCTGTTTGTAATATTTTGTTTAATTAACTTTATTTTGTGAAAGTAAACAATTTACATCCTTATCGAGCGTTGATGAGTGTTCCTCTGCTCAAGCGCTAAGTAACTGGTTTGATTTTGGGAATGTCTCTTTTAAATGGGGTGAAATTACTTGTCATTTACTTTTCAAACCTCGCTACCGAGAGAAACTTTGTGCTATGACCTTTTTATGGTGATTATACTTGAATGTGGGAGCCTACGAATCTCTAAAATTTCTGGATCCTATGTTGTTGAATCTCTAGATTATCGTGGTAGGTTCCAACGGTTGATGAACAACGAATCCTACTTGTGTCTTAAAACATGGACCGTCTCTGGATGGTTTGAAGTTTTTCTGCCTTACAGATTCATGATTATAGATATTCCCTCCCGTCAAAATTTACTAGCACCTATCGGAAGAAATTTTAGATGCACTCGAAGTGTATCATATTTTGATGACAATGATATTGGTCGTTTTGGTATTCTCCTATAAGATGGTTACAGTTTTTATTCTAATGTAACAAAGCTTTGTAGCATCCATTTAGGTTCGGCGTTGTTGCATCATCTGTTTATGATATATTTCTTTAAATTTGGGTTTACATTTACTCATATTTTTACTGCTAATGAGTATCACATTCTTTTTTCTCACTAATATAGTCATGGGTGCTTCCCAGGAATGCTACTTAGCATCATTCCCCAACATATGCACTACTAACTTTAGTAGCCTGTTACCAGGAAAACATTGTTCTATTCTGTTCAGCATTTTAGTAGCCCTTCGCTTACATCAAATTGTTCTAATTATACGAAGAACTAGAGGTAAACTGTGCCTGAATGTACGGTATAATGTGAATAATTTTGAGAAAAATATTGGTGGTCGTTGAATTAGTTTATTGGGTTAATTTCAACTTGTATCTTGAAAAATCACTCAAATTTCAATTTCTATTCTCAAAGTTTAAAAATATCAATTTATATCTTGAAAGACATAAAGTTGTATCAATGTACACTTGAGGATAATTCCATTCATTTGCTGTTAAAAAAGTTTGGACAAATTATAAATATATAATTCAAAGTTTAAATATTTCATATTTATGATTCACAAACAATTTCATTCATTAATACTTATTAGATAGTTCTTAATTGTATTGTATTATAACATCTTTGTGTTATGTTCGAGTCAATAAAAAAATAATTTTAAAACTTAAAATTTTTTTATAAAATACCTATTTCTTGCCAATAATATTCGTTAACTAGTTATTTCTTGTCTGCAGTTAGATGCAAATCTTTTGATTATCCAATCAAATTAAAGTTAGATACAAATAATACAACTGTAAACATAAAATAATTATTTAATGAGTATTATTGGAAAAAAAAAAGGTATTTTTTAATTTTTAAAAATATTAAATAGAATTTTATGAATTGTCGTAAATGTGAAATATATGATGTAACCCAATTAACTTGACACAAAAATATTTTTTAGGTTAAAAATATTTTTTTATTGACGCAAACACGATACAAAAATTTTATGACATGATATAATTAAGAGTTATTTAACGAGTATTAATGGAAGAAATTCTTTTTGAATCATAAATGTAAAATATTTAAACTTTGAGGGGGTGTAATTTATAATTAACTCAAACTTTTTTAGCAGCAAAATGGATGACAATTAGTTCCATGTGTACATTGATACGTATTTATATCTTTCAGGGTGTAAATTAATATTTTTAAACTTTGATGGTTTAAATTGAGGATCTTTTGTAAATTGAGATTAATCTTGGTTTATTTGAGACGGTCGAATGAACTTATTGAAGTCTGTCCTGTTTAGGCACAATGCAATGTGAATCATTTTGAGAGAAATATTGGTGGTCGTTGAATTAGTCTATTTAAGACAGTCAAATGGGTTTATTGAAACCTATCTTATTTTATATTATAGATGTCATCTCCAATTTCACACTTTATATGGATCATTAACTCAAATAAATAAGATTTTCATATTTTCTTATCTATTGATATTCGATTCTACCAACTCCATCATTTTAGATTTCCTTATACTAAAGCCACATTTCATACATTCAATTTTAATTCCATGTTTTTTTGAATCCTCTTGAAACTTCTCCCCAAACTTCTAATTTTTTTTAAATACTTTGGATGTTTACAATAAATAAATAAAAAGGGTTTTTTTTTATAAAAAAGTGAAAAAATATGTGTGATGGTGTTAATGAACTGATAGTAGTGGCTCCACTACAAGTGAGGAGAACAACGATGATTTGGGTGATAGGTGGTGGCTTAATTCGATGCACATTCAAACTTTGGACAATGGTAATGACCTTAGAGACCTATATCAATTTTAAACTTAGGATGGTTAAGGTGAACAAAATGAAATTTAGAATATTTGTAAAAAACTCCGAGGGTTTTTCATTAAAAATGTTTTCTAAATCTTAATGTGTTTTAAAAAGATAGTTTGAATTATTTGTCGGACCATATTTGAACAACACCCCTTTAGTGCTCAATATGATAAGTTTTTTGTTTGATTTTAGGTTTAAAAATTAGTGAGACCGTTCTATGTTTGCCAATCTTTGTTAGAGACTAGCGAACATAGAGTAATATCTAAACACTTAGGGAGACAAAACTAAATAACCAGAAGAGACGGCTTTCTAACTGACAATTGATCGCTCGATCGGCCTTGAGACGGCTAGAGCAATTTGCCACCTAGAGATCTATAATGATTTATTTTGTACTCCAGAAATCACCACCCTCTGATAAGACCAAAGAAAGGGAGGACACATTTTACCTTAATTATTGTTAAGCGACACTCTACTTACCCAATTTAAAAGAGTATGGGTTTACAAATAGAAATGTTCATTCCATTCTATTCTTATATCTATTACATGCCCACCTTCATTCCATTTGCATGTAAAAGTATTACTATGTATCAAATGCAACGATGATATTGAAAGAAATATTTCTCTTATGGACAAGTTCTACAACGTTCTTATGCCAAAACAAATTAATAAATCTAATTGAGACGACTGTTTAAAATTTTGTTAAACACATTAAGGTATAAATTGTAAATTACTCTAAAATTTATTGTGTTTTTAAACTTTTTGTACTTTTTAGTATTATACCAAAAAAATTTCTTTCAATACCATAATATTTTTCAAAGGTAATGCTATGCTTACCAAAATTTTTTACTAAATCTCCATCCTAAATGACGTGACACAATTTTTTTATCATCAGATAAGTGAATTTCAATAATATTTAATCAAAAAAATTGTGCCACATCATTTAAAATAAATTTAATAAAAAAAATTAATAAGCATACTATTTTTCTTGTAACGCACCAGTAGAACTTTTTTGCCTCCCCCCCCCCCAAAAAAAAAAGTTGTGCACATAACAAAGATACTTGGGATCCACGTGTCCAATAACTGGCAAAGAAGATAAAATTTGTTTCCTCACATATTCTTGCACCTCACTTATAACTACACTTTTTAAAGCCCACTAATGTTTAAAAAATTCATCTAATTTATTGACACAATAAATTATTAAGTGATAAAAATTTAATAAAAAAGTCTAATAATTATAGTCACAATAATACTATTAGACTATGTCATTGTAAGATTCTTGGGTCAATAAATTAAATTAATTTTTAGGTCGTAATATTATTACTCTTTGAAGCTTTGATAGGGAATAAATATTCAAGGAAAGTACTATTTGTATCTAAAATTTTGATTTGATTGCCTGATCTAATTAATCACAATCATTAAATTCATAATAAATTTTATAAATGCTGAAATTCACAATTAAATCAATTATAATAATTAATATAATAATTGCTCAATATTTAATGTAATAATTACGTCACATCAACACTGTTGATGTTACACCACATCAGTAATACGTGTTATAATCTATCTAAGAAAGTTAGAAAATGAATAAAGTGAACCCATTTTTCTACATCAGATGCTTATATATTATATGGACGAGTGATTATTAATTTTGTGGGAATCACTTACTCTCTTGTTTATTGTTAGTGAATGGTTACACACTATGATACGACCAAAAGTGTAATTGTTATACTCAATATTTTCTCCTTGTTAGGGGATGACTAAAAAAAAAAGAAGAAGCTTTGGTACCTTATTATTTACATTTTTTTTTGATATTTTTATTATTACTAGAAATGCACGTCGTGCGTTGCCCATGAACAATTTAAATAATAATTTTTTTGTTGTATCTATGGAAGTATAAATTTTATGCGTAATTAAATTAAATGATAAATTTGGTGTCAAAAAATTAATATATATTTTATTTCTTGTTAAATCTAAATACTGAAAGAACTACTTATAAAGGAATCCAAAAGAATTTAAAAGTTAAATACTACTTATAAAAGAGTTTAAAAGAACTTGAAAATCAAATTACATATAAAAACAAAAATTATATGAAGGTATAAAGATATAATTGATTTTATAAAAATTAGGTTAGTAATACACGACGTGCGCGTGAATATATTTAAATCATATTTTTTTATTAAACTTATAAAAAATATAGATTATATGTATAATTGAATTGAATGAATAAATTATTTATCAGAGAATTCATTCTTAGTTTAATTTTTACTAAATCTATTTTTTAATCTATACATGTATTATTCAATAATTTGAGTTATTATTATAATTAAAGACCTAAAGCTATAAGAATAAGTAGAGCAAATGAATAGAAGCCTACTATTATATGATAAAAAGAGTTTTGGTAGGACATAGAAATAAAAATGATGACATTAATAAGGATATGCGGGGTATGATGGACTTAACATTTTTAAATTGGGATGAAATAGAAAATAAAAAACTTTTCACCTATTCTAATATTTATAAGTAGTATAAATCTAGATTTATACGAAGTTTACTAACTTTTAGGTACATTTATTTTTTTTGGTTTTAGATTTACTTATTGTATGCCCTCCTGAATATGGAGTATTCGATCGTTTTGGGGGGCAATGTTTATGCCAAAAAAATAATAAGATCAAAGGGTGACAAGTGAAAGGGATCCTACGGTCACAAGGGTCTGTGAGAGTTCACAATTGACATAATGGGTATAGGAATACTCTTAGAATTTTGAGAAATAAAGAAATATAACATCCTTGAAGCTCCAAGGCAAAGAAAAGAACTTAGAGGTAAACTTACATCTCACTATCATTTGTATAGTCACGATTTTATAACTCCACATCGGTTTAAGTAAGTAAGGTTGTGTGTATTTGAATTTTAAGTCCACTTGCATTTTGGCACGTCCATAATCCTAAAATACGCCAAACAATATCTTATGAATTATATTTTTTTGGATATTAGAGAGTTTGGTCAGTTTGTTTTAAAGACATACGTTTAGAGACGTTTGAATTTTTTTTTTTTTGGATTTTAACGCTAGGTGAATGGATATGTATGTACCTCACTTTGTTTTTTTTTTTTGAACACTACCTCACTTTGTTAACAGCTGGCTACAGTTGAGTTGATGCACATTTTTATTCTGTTCATTTTTTTATCCATCCTATAGGACTTCCTCTCTAATCATTTGGGTTTCTCTTGATTTTACTTCAACTGTAAGAGCAGGACATTTCAATTTTTCAATCAATTATGCATCGCATGGGGTCAACATTGGCCTATGCTAGATTATATAGCAAACAAATTAGGTGGAAGAGACCTTGGGAGGTCTTCTCCCCATTCTCTCTATCTCTTTTTTGTGGGAGAGGAGGGAGAAGGGGAAAGACACTTGAACTCTTGAGTTCAATTTGTCAAGATAAAAAATATAATTGGACCAAAAATCCATTCTCTTAGGGGCTATTTGATATGTGAGTTTAGGAGGATTTTGGAACATGGGTTGGGGACTAAACCCCCTTAAACCCATGTTTGGTAACTGTGAATTTAACCTAGAGTTTGAAATTCGGCCCGATCATAGCCCTGTCATGAAACCTTTGTTTATGGGTTTCAAACCTATGGGGGGGTTTTATACGTGGGTTTGAGGGTTTCACGTTCAAATGACATTTATACTTCTCATATATTCATACTCATATTTGAATTAAATTAATTAAGGGGCACAATAGTCATTTAAATACAAATATATTATCGTAATAGTCATATATCCCTACGCATACCAAACATAGGTATGAACAACATTGAATATTGAATCCCTTCTTTGAATCCCATATTTGGTCAAACCCGGGTTTGAACAAGTCAATCCAAATCCCTCCCAAAAAACATACCAAACAGACCCTTAATTCTTAAAATTTAAATTTATTTTACTACATTCGATTCAATTATATTTTACTATGTGGCATAACTCCGTCTCCATTAACTATAACTCTTCATTAATTTTTTTTTTAAATCTCCATTTAAAATATTTTAAATTTTATTTTAACACCTCAAATTTTTTATAGCTATTTGTTTAATTTTTTTACTCATTAAATATTGGGTGAAAAGAAAAGATATAATAGTGAAAGAGTTAATAGGAGGTAATTATATACAAATTTAATCGCACCGGCATAGATGACGGAGAATTTCCCATTTTCATTATTTCTCGAGTTTTACTACGGTAAAGCTATAAAAGGGAAATAAAATCCAAGACAGAAAAATATAAAACAAGAAGTACTGAACTTTCTTCTTCTTTGCCCTTTTTGCCATCTTGTTTTTCTTCAATTCTTTGTCTGTTGGTCTCGTCTCTAATGGCGAAAACAGTCGAAAAAATAACGGGCGTAGCAAAGGAAACGACGGAATTGAAGAGAGAACTGCAGAGACTGGTGAATGCTATAGTTGATGACGATGATCACAGCGAAGAGACCACTGATCAGGCCATGATGACCTTGTATTCTCTCAAGAAATTAATTTGGAAGCGCTCTCTTTCTCTTTCTTTGGAACTGGACAGTCCTAATTTTCCTGATGAATTTAAGTGCCCTCTTTCCAAAGCTCTCATGAAAGACCCTGTTATCTTGGCCACCGGTCAGGTATTAGTCACTCTTCTGTTCTTCGGTCTCTTAATGACACAAATTTTTAGTGTCTCTCTCTTTCTCTGTGTGTGTGTGTGTGTAATGTGCTACTGGTTGGAAACGCTTTCACCATCTGGTTGAAATTCCTGAATGATAGATGATTTTTCAAGTGGGAATTCTTGATTAGGATCTCTTTAGGATTTGAGTGGCATTTTTTTTCCTGGTGGCTCAATTCTTGAATTTTAGATAAATCACCGTGTATAAACAGGTATTCTTTGAATTTTGCTGTGCGATTGAGAATATTAACGTAACTGAACGGAATTGAGTGTTGGAAAGAACCCTATTTCAGAAATCATAACCTTAGAATTGTGAGGGTTAAGATTATGAGTTGGTATTGGTATATGTTAGTTTGAGGTTTTTCATTATGTAGTTTATAAGTGGTGGCCTAAATTAATAAAAACTTAGCCACTTCGCACTTCTTGTTTGCTTTGGATGATTTTGAAATTTGGTAGCATAATTTTTAGGATGTTTTAATGACAAAGAAATGAAACCAAAAACAGAGGCTTAATTGTCCCATTTATCGTCTCATCACATCACATCCCTTTCTTTTTCTGTGTTCTCTCTCTCTTTTTTTTTTTTTTTTGATAAAAAAAACTTGTTTTATTGTCGATGTTAATTGCTGAAAAATGTTGATTGTCTTTGTAGACGTATGATCGGCAATTAATCGAAAACTGGTTGAAAGATGGTAAAAGAATATGCCCCCAAACCCAGCACGTTCTGTCCTACACGGTGGTTACCCCTAATTGCTTAGTACGGGAAATGATTTCACAATGGTGTAAGAAGAATGGCCTTGTGCTGCCAAACCCTGCCCAGGGTCCTGATGAGGAATTAATTGCAGATGCAGAGCGAGAACATTTGAATTCACTGCTCGAGAAATTGTCCTCTTCTCTTTCTGATCAGAAAGAGGCTGCAAAAGAGCTAAGGTTGCTGACCAAACGTACGCCACATATCAGGGCTCTTTTTGGACAAATTGCTAATGCCCTTCTCCAATTGCTCAAGCCGTTGGCACCTAGGAGGATAGATGACCATCCTGATTTACAAGAGGATTTGATCACTACAGTCTTGAATGTCTCGATACATGATAGCAATAAGAAGTTGGTTGCAGATAATCCAGTGGCCATCCCTATACTTATTAAATCATTGAAATTCGGTAACATAGACACAAGAAGAAATGCTGCTGCAGCTCTTCTCTCATTATCACTACTTAATTCCACCAACAAGCTCATTATTGGAGAGGCGGGTGCTATCAAACCTTTGATTAACCTTCTGGAAGAAGGACATTTGTTAGCCATGAAGGATGCTGCATCAGCAATTCTCAGCCTATGCATTGTCGATGAGAATAACGCAAGGGCAGTGCATGAAGGGGCAGTTAGGGTTATTTGGGCAAAAATCATGAATGGTATACTTGTGAATGAGTTGTTGCCTATTCTTGCCTTGCTCTCCTTGCATGAAAAGGCTGTTGAGGAGATGGAGGAGCTCAGTGCAGTACCTTGCTTGCTTAGTATTTTAAGGGACAACACGGATGAACGCGCCAAGGAGAGTTGTATTGCAATCCTTTACACAATAATTTCTTATGATCTACTCAAATTGAGGATGGTCAAGGAAGAGGAAGATGTCAATGGAACTATCTCCAAGCTTGCAGAATCTGGGACTTTGAGGGCCAGGAGGAAGGCAAATGACATCCTTGAGATGCTGAATCCCAAGCACCCATTGTAGATAATATTACTTTGTCTTACACTGTACAAACCATGACGCCAATGCCAATTTGTTACTTGTAGATAACATTTTCCTACACATGCTCACTTTTTCATTTCAAATGGATTTCAGGTGCGCTTTAGGGTTTTAGATCAGCAGTTGACGTTGTATTTTGACCTCTATTAGTTACAAGTACATAAAAATTACTGGTAGTTTGCTCTCTGGATTATGTCCTCCTCATGGCATCTTACTTTGTGTCTATTTTATTATCCTATCACTTATGGGGAAAACCTAATGGGTACTTATTTTAAACCCGATTTACCCTAGAAATTTAAACTAAATAATAATACCCAATCTATTTTTAACCCATATTAATAAAAACAAGTATCCAACTTATTAATTTATGGACGAATTAGACGGGTTGATGGTTTGTGGGCAAGAATTGCCACCGCTACTGCACATATTCGAGTAGATGCCTATCAATGCAATGCATTAGGGTTAAATATCTTTCTCAAAAATATTATGCGAATCGAAGGGCACCGACACGGATTGGATATCAATCTGATTAAAGTTTTTTTCTTGTTTTTAATATCAATGTCCCATTTGGGTTATTATCAGCAATTCCTGGTCACGGTGGTTTCCGTATTTATGCTTCTGTATGGCCCAAAAAAGATAAAAGGAAGGGTCAATTACATTCATCTCAAGAGAGGTTTATCCAAAGTTTTTCTAACAAGATACAAAAAGACTATAATGCCCTCAATACAAAAGACACTCTACCCAAACCAATTGTATAATGCCATGACATATCAACATAAAATATAATAAATCATTTTATTGTAATTTAAGAAAACATAATCCCAAAATGAAAATAAAATTTCCAATCATTTTGTTAATAGGGCCAATTTTATCCCCAAACTAAATATTAAGTAAAATTTATCTGAAAATTCAAATTATATATAATCAATTTTATTAAATTGGTTAATTTCTCCTTGAATTCTTACCAAATCTAGTTGATTTTTTTAATTAAATCAAATTCTTACTGCAAATTCAGGTCGAATCTAGTAAATTCAATTAATTAAACTAAATTAATCTCTAAATTCAAATCAATTCAATTAAGGATTTGACTTTGGTACCGCATGGAGTAGGATAGTTTACAATTTCGTAAGCTAAGATACAAGTGTTTAGGGTCTAGTTATGAAGTAAGAGAATTAGGATTAGTCATCATATTTTAGGATTGATCTTAAAAATTCATAATTTATTGGGATGATGTTATAACTTTTAGTATTCAAAGTTAAAACTTTTGACGAGTGCCATTGCAACGTTTTGGTGGATTTGGGATGTATTAAAACAATTTTAGGACCGTTCGTAAAAAGTTAGGATCGATTGTAAAACCTCAAAATGTAATAAAAGACTAAAAAATTATACACTAACTTCTAAAAAGTTGTGTATAAGCTGTACAATAAAGATTTTTTATTTTTTATTTTTGGTAGTAGCATTCTCCTTCAATTAATTTAAGTTAGTTTTGTGCTCAAGTTTAATTTTAAGTTGGAGACAAAACTAATTAATAGTGTTGAAGGCTTCCACTCTAGCTAGATCGTCTGAGGCATCTCCTTGATTGAAGGAGTATTGAAGAAGTTTGAATTTGCTTTTAACGTTAGTGCAATGAGAGTCGATATATTCTCCTATCCTTCTCTAGGGGATACATTAGAGAATCTATATTTATTCCCGATTGACCATTAATAGATCAGATTATCACCTTTTTGTTGAGATTATCTTATATAAGGAACTTGTTTAAATCAAAAGGGAGGAGTCTCTTCTTATTTGGTTAAATTCGATTTTTTTTTTTAAAAAAATGAAGTAGTTGAAAGTTGTACAAATATTTCAAGCACAACCCTGAGAATTTGCCAAATTCATGTATTGTTTATGTCCTTGCTAATTGCACGTCGTTCAATAAGGGACAATCTTGAAATTGTACAAAATATTAATGTTTACATCATCAAATTGAGTGGGATTATTTGTAGCTCATAAATCTCTATTCTCACCCCATTTAATTTTTTATTATCAAACTACTAAATCCCCTCCTTCTATACCCCCCATTATTAACTAAATCCAATCTATGCTATATACATCCCATTATAATTAAGCTTACTCATTTTATGTACATCCTATTAATAGTTAAACTCACTCATTTTATGTACACCCATTTAATTAAAGAAAATAATGTAAGAAAAAAAATAATAAAAAAAGACAATTAATTTGAATGCATAAATATATGTACGAAACATGAAAAAAAAAGAATCAAATAAAACTGAAACAAGAAAAAAAACAACCAAAAATGAACCAAGTAAAAAAAAATAAAGCATGCTAAAATGTGAAAATAAAGAACAAAATAAGAAAATAAAAAAGAAAAAGAAAAGAAAAAAATAAGGGAAAAAAAAAAGAAGAAAGAAGCAAACCGACACAAGAAAGAAAAAAAACCAAGTAAAGATTAAAGGAACAAGTAAAACTACAAGATTGAAAATCGAATATGAAAAAAAAATAAACATCAAGCACAGATACAAAATCGAACAAGAAAAAAAAAGCATAGATGCAAAACCTTAACAAGATAAAAAAGAATAAATAATCTAAAAGTATACATATATATACACACATATAAATTCTAAATAAAAATTTATTAAACTTGACAAAGATATCAAAATATATCAAAAATAATGAAAATTCATATAACAAATATGAAATTAAATATATAATTAAATTGAGAATTAATACTAATCTGTATCTCACTAAAAAAATTCATATCGAAAAAGTGTTTTTGTGAATGCATGAAACACTAATTATGACAAAATATAAAGTGATTTACTTATTAAAAGGGGTGTATGTAGTATGAGGTATATTTAGTTACTAATGAGATGGATATAGAATGGGTAGATTTAGTAGTTTGATAATAAAAAATTAAATGAGGTGAGAATGGAGATTTGTGGGATGCGAATAACCCCACCCCATCAAATTTTGGACGCCTCTTTTGTTAACCAATACCAAAGTAGAAGGGAGGCAGACAATGCTATTATCAAAATTTGAGGGGTCTATCTGTTCTTTTTTCTTTTCACTTAATTTTTTTTCCATGTTTATTTAATGTAAAATAATATATCTCCACATATCTAAGTATAGTGAAAAGTTTATTTCATGTATAATAATTGTACAAGAGATTTCTTCTAAAATAGTGAGATAGCGACACTTCTGGTTTGAACTCGAACAAAGACATTGGGCTCTCAAGTCGAACAACTTGACACTCACAAAGAAAGGTTAAAAGGGATGTTGGATGTGTCTCCGACATTTCTCCTCCGATTCTTCAATTAGTTTTTGAGGAGGGAAGTAGACCCAAGGCTCATGCTAGTTTCAAGTTGTGTACTTTTGTTTCTTGACTTAATCTCCTATTTATACCTTCAAGGAGGATAACTGAGTCATACGAGGTTATCCAGCTATTTTCATTAACGAGAAGGCTTTTGATTGGTCCGTACCAAATACAACAAGGATCTTCCTTTGGTTTGGTTAAGTGGACAAGCCTCGAACAGAGCATTTGTTTCGCCTCGATCCCCACATTCCGCATTTAACGCTTGACATATTGATTGACACTGAGTGTTTATTGCTCTTTTATTGACTCTGATTTGAGTCTTCCGAGTGTGAATTGTTTCTGAGACACAAGCACGCGTGCATGAGGAGCCTTTATTGCTCATTTTGGTCTTGAGGCTGAGCATTTATGAAGCATTTAAGGATGCCCTTCATGATTAGTTGCAACGTACTTCTCTATTCCTTCTGACAACCTAGGGAGGAGGAGCCATGCCTGCTGATCAATCGAGCACAACTCCCCAAGAGACATTCCTTCGATCATAGGTAAACAAATCTCCCAAGGTCGCCCCATCGGATGGCAGCTGTTTCACAAGGTTGCATTGATGGGATAGCTCGACATACATCGTCATTGGTCTTTTGTACATCTTGGCTCCTGTCATTACTGGCGCTACTTGACATTCTGATTCTCAGGATCTAGGTTGTTATGTTCTGAGGCATTATTGCCCTTGCTCAGCGTTCTCAGGGATACCAAATCATATTTACGCCCCTGGGTCCAAACTCAAGAATGCCGAATCATTTCAAGGTATCAGGCTCTGCACTTGGTACCAAGTATTCCTTGTTCTCGGGTACCAGTTTGTATAATTATTACTTTTCTGGTGACATTGGTTCCCGATGTCACGTGCCTGTGTCTGATTGATTTGGCAGACTGCGCCCCATCAACAATACATCTCTACATATCTCAAATACAACGATAGACCCGAGTCAGAAGGCAAAAAAAAAATTATTGATTACAAAATAAAAAATTGAAATTAATAGCAATTCTCAAAAAAAACATATTGCTAATTTCTTAAGGCAGGCGATTCTTGGTACCATTGAGATGAGAACAAATGACAATCAGATGCCAACATTTCTTTATAACATAGGGAAAGATTTCATCAAAGGTTGCTTGTAGATGTCCCGATGCTAGATAGTTTTCAAAATATCATGGTACCATCATTTTTCACTATATTAGTAGCTCAATAAAACAAATATTAAAAAACTTCAATCAGTTTTGTTTGTAATCTCCAATGAACCTTATTTTTTTGTATTGATTTCATTCCTTTCTATCTCTATACATACTGAAGGTTATTAATGTGTTAAATACATTGAATGGAGAGCAAATAAGTTCTGAAGGTTTTGTTGAAGGAGCACGGATCGGAATTCCAACCATTCAGAATGTGTTTACAATGTTAACAATAGTTCTGTCATCCATGGCTAGAAGCTACACTAACAGATGGACATGAAGCATACTTAGAAGTAAAAACACAAGATGTTTCTTAGTCTTCTTATAATAGCCAAGGACGGATTTATTAGTGGGCTAAGGTGGGCTGAAGTCCAGAGTAAAAAGAAAAAAAAATTTGTCACTAAATACCAGCCCAACCCCCAAAAACAAATCTCATCCAACCCAAACCAACCCAACCCAACCCAACCCAACTAACCCAACCCAGCCCGCCTGCAAAGCTTCCCAAAATCAATCGGTCATCACTTCTTCCAAAACCATGTCCTGTCTCTTCTCTCTCAGGCGAGTCATTTCCCCAAATCTCCGGACAATCAACAGCTCCATGGTAACAC